GAATATCGGCCTAGTTAAAGTGAAATTGCGATTACTTCAGCATCTGACATGTGCCAAATCGTGCATCAGTATAGGCTATGATGTTTTTGAATATGCTTTCAAAATATATCTAGTAGAATTGTGTTCGAAATATTTAGACTTCAGTATTAAATAAACGATAGTGGTTGATATGCAGCTAAACCAAATTGGTCAACTAAACAATCACTGACATTAATCCATATATCCTACAATTTCTTAAATCAAACTGTATTCCAAAATATAAATTCAACAAAACTACAACATAAAACACATCACCACCTGTAGTAATTATGTCCGTACAAACGGGTATATGCACGTATCTATGTAAACAATTGTGAAAGTAGAATAACATTTTTATTAGTTCAAAGCTTCCAAGAAAATTAAATGGCGCATAAGAAGCTGATATGCCGTTAAACAAATCAACGAACCAACAACATGATTTTGAGCATAAGTACATATAAAAGAGTGGCCATAGGTGAATCGGATTCGGGTGATTCGCAATTCGGTCAGTCTGTAACCTGCTAATAGTCAGCAATCAGCCGTCAGTGGAAGTGCCGGTCTATGCCAGGTTGGCGTCAGAATGAGAAGAAATATGAGTGTCAGATTTCACACGAATCCTGCTGCCAGTTTGCTAGTCAGACGAACTGAATGAAAAAAGAAACGTCACTTTCTCTCATTCGTAACGAAAAAAAAATAACAGCCGGTCTCAAGAGAAAGAAGTATCCGAGCACGATGTTATCGTCTAAAAGTAGTCTGTAATAACTGGTGCGCTGTCAAAATCGTTTAGTATCTGACCGATTGTGCGCATAGTGTAGCTGCTGTTGGCGGAGTAGGTGATATCGTCAGAACGTGTTCAAATTCCAGCCGTTGCCTTCACGAATAACTTTGAGAAACTTATGAATCCATCTCTCCTCAGCCTATTGGTTAAATAGCAGCTGGACAGGTCTCTTGCCTTGTGCGTTAGATGGATAACAGTATAATACAAAGAAAACCCTGAATTCGAAATGGGTGTCGTGCTAGCAATGTCACCACCTTAAACCTATGCTCAATAGAGAGTCTAATGATTCAACCCGGCCACACCAACAGGGAAACTGACCGATTATTTAGTGAAAGTTTATTACAACAGTAAATATATGGATCTTATAGGATACTGAAATTAAGAACGACTTATAAATAATCATCCAGTGTGGATGTTGTATTATCAGTCTTTATTTTCTGGGAGTATGCCTACGTGGATCAGATTACAAAGGAGGCCAATCCAGATCCTCAGGCACTCAACGAGATCAAGTTCACCGACGACCAGACACTGATAAACAACGACAGGGTCCAGCTGCAGGAACACACTGACCAACTCAACTGAAGCTGCGAGAAATACATGAATATCAGTGTCAGTAAGACTGACGTCATGACCGTCAGCAAGAGACAGGAAAAACTGGCCATTAACGTCAATGGGACCCCAGCTAAAGCAAACTAGTGAATTCAGATATATGGGCAGCATATTTACTGTAAACGGCAAACAAAACAGAAATCGAGACCAGATGTCAGAAAGCCAAAGCAGTCAATTACCAACTTGCTCCTCTTCTAAAACATCCTAGCATTTCCATGAACACCAAGGCAAATCTCATCAACGCCATTTTCCTACCAACGTTGACATACCAGTGCCAGACATGACCCCTGACAAAAATTGATCACTTGTGAGATGAAATGCCCGAGGAAAGCAGCGAAGGCGAGACAAGATCAGAAATGAGGCAATGAGATATGTTAGGAACAATACCAATCATACAAAAACATTGAATGACAGATGATCAACTGGTTAGGACACCTCACTCGTATGCTTATCAACCAACCAGCCCAACGAGCATACACCCTCAGGTACTCTGGCTGGAGATCGAGAGGCAGACCAAGAAGAGGCTGGAGCGACTGAGTGGCAGAGGTATCTCCAAGCCACTCGCCTTGCCGCGGACAGACAACTGTCTCTCCGCGACACCTAACAGCAAAAGCGGAAGGAAAAACTAAACTAACTACACCTTTGAATCAAAATTTGAAATTGTAGATTCTGCATTTATTGCCAATTAATAAATTACAAAAGATGTTTTCCAAAACTGAAATTTCTTTATATGAAATTTAATGTTATTTATTCTTAACTAACATAATACTTGTGTTTATATAAGTGACTTTTTTTTCATTAAAGATTTAAGACTAAAAGTTCAGATCTAAGTCTATTTCTAGTATGGAGGGAAATTTCCCTCCTAACCTTTTATTTAAGATGATTTTAAGATCAATATTTTGATTAAATCATTAAATTCCCTTCTAGTTGAACGTGTCATTCATTTTAGTTGTTGCTGCTTTTGGAAGTCTTTAAGTTTTTTTTTTGTTTGTTGTTTTTTTTATTTGGTGAGATACTTTGTTTATGATTTTGCCGCAGTAGTTTTAAGTTCTGATGAAGGATTGTCTTCTTTAAGATCTGATGAAAATTTGTCTAAGATCAGATGAATATTTGCTTTCGTTCAGATCTGATAAAGAGTTGTTTTCTTTAAGATCTGATGAAGGGTTTTCTTCTGTAAGATCTGACGAAGGGTCCTTTTCTTTAATATCTGATGAAAGATTGTCTTCTTTCATATATGATGAATGGTTGTTATCTTTAAGATCTGATAAAGGATTGTCTTTAAGATAAATCAAGAGTTGGCTTCTTTAAAATCTGATGAAGGGTTGTTTTCTTTGAGGTCTGATGGAATGTTGTCTTCTCTAACATCTGATGAAAGTTTGCATTCTATAAGATCTAATGAAGGTCTGTCTTCTATAATATCTGCCGAATGATTCTTTCTAAGATGAATGATTATCTTCTCTCTGATCTGCTGACGGATTGTCTTCTTTAATATCTGATGATGGGTTGTTTTCTTTAAGAACAGATGAAGGTTTTTCTTCTTTAAGATCTGATGGTGTGTCTTTAAGATCTGATGAAGATTTGCCTTCTTTAAGAAATGATGATTGGTTTTCTTCTTTAAGATGTGTTATGGTTCAGGTCCTTGTACCACGGTGATGGACCAAGGTAGAAGCAATAAAGAAGAACTCGAACACGGATATAGAACAACACAGATATATTACAAACAGGAATATATACAGAGAAGTAGAAAGTGTTAGTACGAACAATCAGGTTTACTGGTAATTGTCTGAACGCGACTCTGTTTCGAACTGCCTCTGACGCGACTGACCGACTCGCTCGCTCTAACTGACAGACTCCTGACGGACCTCACTTCAGAGTGAACAGTATTTAGTCACCCCCCCCCACGAGAGCATCATGTGGCACAAGGCCGGTTTAACGTGGGATCTCCGAGTCCGTGGGCTCGGCCAAAAATATGCCCTTTGAACCCGTATAAACGGGTTCAGGGTCGGTTTACCTCCCCGAAAGAGACTCCGCCCTTCGGCGTAGCCTCGTTTGGATTCCTCCCCGCCCGAAGGCAGAGAGTTCACCCGATCAACCGGCCAGCCGGTTGTCCGACTTCGGTCTGAACACCTTGCTTCCTCTTGAGACGCAGTATTTATTACGTATGGAATAGTCCATTATGTTGTTATGGGTAAGGTCTCATAACAAGAAGAACTTGGGGATTCATATGTTTGAAGCCATTTTAATCATTGATCTGAGGCAACTATTATATATAGCTGATAGTCAGCATACTTGAACCAGTTGTATGCAATGTATTCAAATTGAATATCTAACGAGGCTATTTAAGAATTCTTGGATTAATATAACAGGAAGAAAATCATAATTTTCACTTCTGTCGAAATTTGGGCTTACGGTCATATCACGTTAAAACACCGATTTTCTTACGATCGCGGAAGTTAAGCAACGTCGATCCCGGTCAATAACTAGATAGGTAACCGTTTAGAAATACCAAGTGATATAAGCATGTATGTGAGGATGGAGCAATGAAAAACGACTCGGTATTGTAAATCAGAGAGCTTTTATATTCACTTACACGCAGATACCTTAGGTATGGTCTCAATCAACGTCTTCTCCCTTCGGCTATACGTTAAATAATAAGACATCTATCAGTAAATCTGTTGTGATAAACCCTCTTACAGTATAATGAACTCTTCCTTCTCTCATAAATACAAACTGCGAGAGTCGGACGGGGGAGCAGAGTGTGAAGTGGAGTGGAGTAGTAGACTCAGTACTAATCTACTTATTACTAACACTATTGTTTTGTATATATCTTCAATATACTTTTTCAACCTACCTTCGTCTTCCGTGTCTTTCTTTCTGGCCTCTAAACAGGCCACAACAAAATCATAATTGCCTCTCCAAATTATTATAATCTATAAATATCTTTTGGCATTAAATAATCCGCAAAACGTTGATAAGCTATAAGGGAACAAATCACCCAATCAATCAATCTGTCAAAGGTTAATATAACCTAGAAAAGGTTACTGAATGAGAAATAACTAAAACGGAGGTTGGAAATAAAATGGTAATCTTTATAACATCAACAAAATACAATACTCGCCAGCGGCGTGAAGTAGGTAAACCACTGCTAGGGGTGGACTAGTTAAGCATATTACCCACTACTTACAATAGTGACCAACATATTTATGAGAACTGGGACATACACATTAGTGTTCATAGGTACGGTATATAACAGTTAACAAATGATTTCGTTTTCACCTTTCAACTATTGAAGTAAAAAATTGTTAGCCAGAATTCCAATTCGCCGAAATGCCACATAAGATCTTTTTTTTTTAATAATATTTCCTAAAACTATATAAATAACACATCTTCTGGTCATTTTTCTGTTAGTTCACTGGGAATGTGAGGTTTAGATAAAAAAAAAATACTATGATAGATTATTTACAGACACTCAATTTTTTTTTTTCATTTGATGTCATGAACTCTGTACGAAACTTCTTTCAATCCATGTGTTTTGATGGGTTTTACTCGTTCTTCAAGGTCTCAAGAGGAAACTTAAAAAGATTACGAGTGGTAAATGTCTTTTTTTTTATTTATCTATTTTTTGGTTGCTTTTATAAATATCTATCTTTTCATAAAATTCTTTAGAACGTTTCTTTATTCTCAGTATTTTCTAACGTCATTTTATTTACGAACGTTCTTCTTTTATTTCTTATTATATGAATAATCAGTATCAACGAATTCTTTTTCTAGTTTGGAAAGACGCTATTAGGGCCTATAACTTTATTTTCCAAACCTTGTCTGACATTTTCAAAAAATCTATTATTCGTATCACATGATCTTTTCCGGACGTCTTTTTTTATCATGAATAAAAACCTTCAGTTGATGCGTTGTTCACTCCGCTAAGACTCTTTCTGTCGAATATTAACACACCGGCATTTCTAATTCACTTCGTCCGTGCAAGTTTAAATAGAGACGGTGTTTTTCCCAGCTTCAACTGGTTCCGAAATCCACTGAGAATCATCGATCTCCGTATATTATTGAATCGTTCTGAAAAGGAATCTTGCTAATACATCGTGCCACACTAAACACTTCTTCACATCTTTGCCGCATCTGGTCTGGTGCTTCTGTTATGCATCTAGGGATTCTTGACAAATTCCAGAAAGACTATGCAATGTTATCCGTCCTGACTTGGCATCTCGGTTTCAAATAAACTTCTCCGCCGCCGTTACGTAACGTCTTTGTGCTGTTTCTATAAATATTTTCATGGAAATTGTTCTGATGAGCTTTCACTTGTTGGTACCTCAACGTCATGTATTTAAGCGCAGAACTAGATTGGCGGGTTGCTCTCATCATCTTCCTGTTCAAATTGCTAAATATAACCGTCAGCCTGTTATAGCCTGTGTAAGTGTTATGGGACCTTACCCATAATAACATAATGGACTATTCCATACATAATAAATACTGCGCCTCAAGAGGAAGCAGGGTGTTCAGTCCGAAATCGGGTGACCGGCTGATCGGTTGAACTCTCTGCCTGCGAGCGGGGAGGAACCCGAACGAGGCTACGCCGAAGGGCGGAGTCTCTTTCGGGGAGGTAAACCGACCCTGAACCCGTTTATACGGTTTCAAAGAGCATATTTTTGGCTGAGTCCACGGGCTCGGAGATCCCACGTTAAACCGTCCTTGTGCCACATGATGCCCTCGTGGGGGGGGTGACTAAATACCGTTCAGTCTGAAGTCTGGAGTGAGGTCCGTCAGGAGTCTGTTAGTCAGTCAGAGCGAGCGAGTCAGTCAGTCGAGTCAGAGGCAGTCCGAAGCAGAGTCGCGTTCAGACAATTACTACTAAACCTGATTCTTCGTACTAACACTTTCTACCTCTCTGTATATATTCCTGTTTGTAATATATCTGTGTTATTCCATATCCGTGTTCGAGTTCTTCTTTATTGGTTCTACCTTGGACTATCACCGTGGTACAAGGAACCGGACCATAACAGTAAGTCTGTTCCGGCTTGTTACTTTCCTGCCAACAATAATCTTCAAAAATTTAAATGCAACATCAATCATCATCTTTGCATCCTTGAATCCTATTTTTTTTATTATCCTTTCTCCTCAGGTTCCTGCAGCCTCAGTAGCCCCTTGCATTTTAATGTCATTATAAATTTGCTTGGTGTGTAATGATTAAAAAAAATAAAATAGAGACAAACACACACACACACACACACAAGAAGAAATATCTAAGATTATCGACTATAGCAACACTTGAAAAATATCATTTTCCGCTAACAGGAAGTGGAAAGATTTTATCTATTATATTTCTAAGTGTGCAACTAAGAATGTTGGTTCACTATTTTATGTTAGATAATATATTATATATTTATAAATTTACCATTCGTCCATGCTTAGAATATTGCTGCTACATATGGCGTGGTGCTCCTGATATATATTTAGAGATTCTTGATAAAGCCCAGAGAAGAATCTGCAATATTATTTTTCCTAACCTGGTACCTCGCCTTCAGTCACTTTCCCGCCACCGTAATGTAGCTTCCCTCAGCCTTTTCTATAAATACATTCATGATGATTGTTCTGTGAACTTTCCCCTATGGCACCTAGATTTTATTAATTTAAATTCAGTACTAGATTGTCGGCAAGGTCTTTTCCTTTTACAGTTGAAATGATCAGATGGAACCGTAAGTTCTATGCTAACAGTTTCTTCTTTCGCATTTCTCGCTTATGAAACTCTCTTCTGTCTTCATGCTTCCCAATCAACTTTGATCTTCTAAACTTTAAATGACATGCCAAGCGTTATGTATTGTCTTCTTAATTCTTATTCTTTTATTGATCTCTCTCCTTAATAGAGGTTTTTCGCATATTTTCATAACCTCTTTGCTTCTTAGGGGCTTTATTACATTGCTTGGGGTGAAGTAATTAAAAAAAGAAGCAATCAGCTCGTAAAAAAATAGGGAAGATTTTTGTGGGGAAAACCTTCTATAGAGTAGCATTTATTAGACCTTCTTCAAGCCACACCATTTGTCAAAAACCTAAAATCATTAGTTCTTTTATAATTTTAGAAAGGTGTCCTGTTCATAAAATAAATACAGTTCCAAATCGACTCCTGACTTCTAAAAAGATTTATCTTTACCTTTTTTTTATTTACAAATGTCAAGTTTGAAACTGTACTTATTTCATTGATAACTCTGTACTACTGCGCGTTTATTTTCTCTTACTTCGTAATAGTGCGCAGTTATCAATGGTGGAAGCGCAGTTTGAAACTTGACATTTGTAAATAAAACAAAATATAAATAACTCTTTATGAAGTCAGACAGACATGATACTGTAGAACAAGACCACCTTTTTAAAATTTAAATGTCATGGCTTGAGGAAGGTCGAATAAATGTGAATCTAAAATAGTAGTCAGTTTAAGTATTTCCAATGTTTTTTTTTCTCCGTGTCGTGGGTCCTTACCTATAACTACAGAATGAATTCTTCCTAACACTATGTATACTACGCCTCTCAAGAGAAAGGGTTGAATCAGTCCTTTGAGCAGAGTGGAACCCAGACGAGGCTCCGCCGAAGGGCAGAGTCTCGTTCGGGGAGGTTGACCAACCAGATCCCGTTTATACGGCTTCTACGGGCATTTTTGGGCCGAGCCTACGGGCTCAGGAAACCCACATTAAACTCGGCCTTGTGCCACATGCAACCCTCGTGGCAGGGGGGTGGCTAGATACCGAATCGAGTCGAGCCGATAGTAGTTCACTCCAAACCAGACTGACAGTCATACTAACACCTTCCACATCTTGTATTATTATTTCGTGTAATATACCTTCGTTATTTCTACTCTTGTGTTGGTGTTGTTCTTCCTTGGTCCTAACCTGGGCCATAACACTCAACTTAAACCGGCTCAGAGATCTAGGGATAACCAATCTCCCTATATTATCCATTCGCTCTGAAAGAGAATCTTGCTAACCTCACGCCACACTACACGACTCTTCACATTGTTGTATATCGTATTTTGCATTAGTAATGAGATTTTTAAAATAAATTCTTTTATTATCCAGTCATATTATCATATGGCTGAATAGAATAAGTCGGCAGTTGACATGCACAGCCATTCATTGCAGTTAGGAGTAATATGAAGAATGCATTAAAATAAATGTGCCCGGAAACATAATAACAAAACAAAGCATTATCTTTAGAAGCTCTCTGGCTAAAGTTGAGTATTCACATAATGCATTAACAGGAAATGAATTCAACATCCAAAAGAAAGAAAGGAAGAAAGAAAGAAATCAGCAATCATAATAAACATCCAACGAAACTATCTTTGAATCTCCTAAACCTGAAAATCCATTTAATTCTATTTAGAATATTCATCTGTAAATCCAACGTCCATCCATCATACAGCGGGTTTTATGGTGGAGTAATGGATAGTGGCTCGGATTAAGGAATCAGCAGAGCCGAGTTCGAATTCCTGTCGAATCCATTACATTCACTTACGTACTAATACCCATGGGAAAGGTATGGATCCTCTTCTTCTCCCCCCAGCTATGGGTAAATAGCAGGGAAGACCGGGTTCTATAGCCTTGGATGGCAATTGGTCTACCAGAAAGAAATGGCAACATACTGCCGAGAAAAATCTGCCTCGTCAGTCAAGTATTGAAAGATATATGATCGCATCAGCGTGTATCAAGCATGCCACATAACTGACTGAACTGACAAACTATACTTACTCTTTTCTCGATGAAAGAAACAGTCTTCCCCTGGAACAAAAGGGATGTAGGAAAGTTTCATACGAGTGTAAAGAACAATTAATAAATAAAATGGTCCTTAAAGATTACCGTAAAACCTTTGATAGTGTGCCAAACACTTGGATCCTTAAGTGTACTAAATGTACAAAGTTGCCTCGGTTATAGTAAATTTTCTTAAATACAGCAAGAAACTGGGAAAAAAACCCTTATACCTAAATCACACTATAAACACGTAAGAGTCAGCGAAGGAGATGGAATGTAACATACCCAAATGAAGGAGAAAATAAGAAACGAATATCACAGGCATGTGCGTCTGGTGGTAATTACTGAGTTTAATTTGCAAAACAGAATATCAGCCATAAACCCTGTGACTGTCCCTGTGGTGAATACGGTTTCAGCATCCTTAATTGGACTATAGCTGACATTAATCGAATGGATGTCAAAACGAGAAAGCTTCTCACCTGTCACCGCATGCATCATCCCATTGACTGATGTTAATCACCTGTATGTGGCCAGATCCGAAGGAGGCAGATGATTAATTCAATTAGAACTCTCTTACAAAACCACAACAATCGGTCTTCAAAGATACATGGAAACTATAGAAGATTGGATGATGATCTGTATCAAAGGCCATGAAAGAAATAAGAAACTTTATTCGGTAATAAAGTCGAAATCTTAAAAATGAGAACATCAATAATTACACAGAGACAGCTTTGCGTAACTTCGGCTTAAGTCCACCCCACAAGAATGAGAAAAGCAAACGCTCGATCATCTTCCAACGGTCCTGGCAAAGAGGGTGTATTGATAATCGGTAAAGGACGAGGAGAAATATGTACACGTAACACAACTGAACCCCCTACTCTTTAAGGACGACCGCCTTCGGAGTCAGGTCCGACTCGAACTTCTTACCTTCGCCAGTATCTC